ACTGCTGCAGCGGCGGGTTTAAGCGCGCTCTCCGCGGATGCGGCGGGCCAGCTGGATGTCTTTGGGCATGATGGTGACTCTCTTGGCGTGGATGGCGCACAGGTTGGTGTCCTCAAACAGACCGACCAAATAAGCCTCGCTGGCCTCCTGCAGCGCCATGACAGCGGAGCTCTGGAAACGCAGATCCGTCTTGAAATCCTGAGCGATTTCTCTCACCAGACGCTGGAAGGGCAGTTTGCGAATCAGCAGCTCGGTGGACTTCTGATAACGGCGGATCTCTCTCAAAGCTACGGTTCCGGGCCTGTAACGATGAGGCTTCTTAACGCCACCGGTAGCGGGTGCGCTTTTACGAGCGGCTTTAGTAGCCAGCTGCTTCCTCGGGGCTTTACCTCCAGTGGACTTACGGGCGGTTTGCTTGGTTCTGGCCATTATCTCACAGAAGTACTACATCAAAAACAAAGAATAAGACAAGCTAGAACGCAACGCTTGTTTTAAGTCTACAGCTGCCATGCGCTCATTGGACGGCGTAGAGTCAGTGGTTTTTGATTGGTTATTGTCTGGGGCTTCAAAATGACAGTTGACCAATGAATGTGCGTCTCCTGTTTTCAAACAAGAGACGACAGTTTGTGGTTCCCGCCTAAATGTCCTGCATTCTTGTTCACTTTTGTATGAAAACAGAATAGGCGAAGTCGGTCTTAAATTTGTATGCCAGATTATGTGATTTTTTTTTATTAATACATTAAATTAACATACTGGTAACAAAAAATGTATAGCCTGAATGCGCTGTAAGACGCTTTGGATAAAAGTATCTGCATAAATTATTATAACTAGCACTGCAGAATTTAAGTGCAATATGGCATGCTAAGGTTACTTAAATTGTTCCAAGGACCACATTTTCACTAAACTAGAGAAATAAAAGTAATTGAAGAGGATACGGGATTTCAAATAAAATGGGTCAGTATTAAAATAATTTTAAATAAAATAAACTTCAAACTGGGTTTATATCAAAGACTATGGTCTATACCAACTGAATGAAAAATCGCTCTCACGTGGAGAAAATGTGTGGCTCTTAAAAGAGCCTTTGGTTTGAAGAGAAACTTTTCTCGGTTTACTTGGTCTTGGCGGGTTTCTCGGTCTTCTTGGGCAACAACACGGCCTGAATGTTGGGCAGCACGCCGCCCTGAGCGATGGTCACGCCGCCAAAAAGCTTGTTCAGCTCCTCGTCGTTGCGCACCGCCAGCTGCAGGTGTACGGGACTTTTTGTTGTCCCGAGCGGCGTTTCCAGCCAACTCCAGGATCTCAGCGGTGAGGTACTCGAGCACAGCGGCCAGATACACCGGAGCACCGGCACCGACGCGCTAGGCATAGTGGCCTTTACGTAGAAGCCTGTGAACACGACCGACGGGGAACTGTACTCCAGCTTTGGAGGAGCGAGTCTTGCCTCCAGTTTTGCCTCTTCCACTCATTGTGATAACAACCGCTACAACACAGTTTAAAGAAAGAATTATAATACAGAGAGCTGCGACGTTACTTTTAAAAGAAAGCGTGCCAGTCTCCTATTGGCTGGAGTCTGATTACGTTCCAAGCCAATCAGTGAACTTCCCTCCGAACTTCAAACCCCACCCTCTTTCTGCTGCTGACAACCCTCAAGCACAACGTTAACCATGTTCACGAGCTTCTTTGTTTACCTTTATTTATTTTTCTATTTATTCCTTTCTTATTTTTACTCCTTATGTACATTTTTATGACTTTATGTAGAACACTTTCAATTACCTTTGTGTATTAAATGTGTTATATAAACCTCCATCGCCTATTATTTATTTCATTCGTTTTAAACATAAAGTGATTCAAGTTAAATGTCTGACTTATAGCATAATATTCACATTCACGTATCAATATCGTCAAAATGCTAC